GGTTAGCAGGTACAAAGGGACAGGGACTGGACCTATGTAAAGGGTGTGTGTTCAAAATATACCAAGCTAGGGCTTGGGGACGTTGCGGAGCTACTTAAATAGGTATGGGAAGTGAACAAAGGAACATCAGAATCTAGGTAACATGAGGCAGGTGATCGAGATTGGTACTTAATGGGGCTGGTGTAGGAGGGTTTCGTACGCGTGTCGGGATGGTTGTCAGGACGTTTTCAGGGGGGTGGTGGTACTGTCTTGGGGAGGTGCATGTCTTGGGGAGGTGCAAAGAGAGTCGGGAATGTGAGAACGTGTGGGCTGGTGCTGGGGTTGGTCGGGTTGCGGTCAGGGCATGACAGTTATATGGTGTACATGATCTTAACATCACCTGGATGTGCTGGATCATTTTTTCTCTTCTCTCCTGGTCCAAGGGCTATTGATGCATTCATCACTGCCTCTCTCACTTTCCTGCATTCTGTCATGAATTCCTTCGAATGCCTTTGTGGCTGCCCCTTTATGCTTCCTTAGGATAAAATCTTCAAGAAGACATGGCCCACAGACCCCTGTGAAGGGTTGGAGCCTGGCCCTTTCTGGCCATAGAAACTGATCAAGGATGGGTTATTGATACATAAGAAAGACTTCAATTTGTATGACTGACAGTTCAAATTTACCAGAACAAAGGCAAGTGGAGTTCCGTGAGGCAATGGAAGCAATGTCCCCCCAGCTACTGTACATACATTTTTGGAGTGCTTTCAGATGCCTTTAGCAAATGAGAAAATTGCAAAAAAAAAAAATTGCATGTAATTTCCTGTAAAGAGACTGAATTTACTTGCTGTGTACATTTGGCAACATTGTCAATATTACTTGAATGGTATGCAACCTTGTGCATTGGTGGTGGATTGGAAGCTAGGTTGAGGTGATTGTGGGTGTGGTGTTGTCATAGATTGATGATCTATGCAGATATGACAGACGCCCTTCGAAGTCACACTGGCAGACGACTTACCATTTCAGCACCAATTCAGAATTTTTTGGATTATTTGTTGGCCCATGAATCCAGAGAATGAATCCAGAGCAAGGAGGACTTCATATATCATCGTTGCATAAGAAAAGAGCGCCGGCGATGTCTCATCGAAGAAAAAAATTTCATGGTTAAACAATGCAAATACAAAGAAATCAAGTTACTCGTACACCAGAGCAGCGCCCATTTCCAAAGTTCATTGACTACTCCACTACTGGCAAGCCATCCGGGAATATCGATTGAGCGTAAGCATTTTCATCGTCGCTTCGTCTTCAAAATGAACCACGATATGAGGATCCATATCACAACGAGAACATCGGGGATGGAAATATCTTGAGGAGAGTGGTATGATGAATCTCTTCGTGACGGATTTGTGAAGCAAGGCCGATGGATTATCGGTTCGATATGGTTTTGGATTTGGTGTATTGCTTTCACGAATGTATCATATTGAGACCAACGATGCAGATACGGCGTCAATCCTGAAGGCTAGACATTATGTAGAAGCAGCGGAAAGGACGGACGGTTCCCGTATGAAACGGTGGGAAACTAGTTGGGCGCTTCAGCAACTACAATCAGCGTTTTTGCTTGCTCCGCTCACCGTTTAATTGGACTTGAATGCGTCGATCTCAAATTCAAAGAAACAAGAATCGAATCAGGTCGAGAACAATATTAATGCTGATATAGGTCAGTATGAAATCGATCTATCTTTTTCAAAATACCATGATGAAAACTCAGCCCACATATCATCTTAGTGGAATGAACCTTCGAGCTTCATCTGCAACACAAACATTATAAGTGTACCTACAGGATTCCGCTTCCAGGCTCACCGTAACTACCTCTGAGTCTTTACCATCCCTTTCCGCTTTGGCGCCAATACCTGTGACTAGTTCAGTCTATATCCGAGCACTTCGCTGTTGAAGATCTCAAAACAATGAACTACACCGACGGCCGGATAAAGCTTCAAGCACAAAGGAATCCACAGATTTTCTGTTAAAGATCTGCATCAATCCAGTCCCTGCTCTAAGCCATGCCATTGTCGTACGTATCAATCTATGAGCGCTACGCTCAGTCGCATTTCTCATAAAAACAGGCCGTCGAATAAGTGACCTGAGAATCCTATCCCCTCTGACATGTCTTTATTCAACATCTTCAAGGAGCCCATCAAAGCTCCACCGGTCACCAAAACCTCATTCGTCCAACAAATCGAAAAAGCCGGGCTGCTTGTAACAACAGAATTGAACAAAGCGTTGGAAGAATGTCAGGCAAAGGTAACGAGGATTTCACGAGATTGTAGGATGATGAATCGCAAGCACAGGTATGTATGCTCCTCCTTTGTGAGAATGTATCGGATATCTGATCCTCCCTTCCATGAACAGAGACACCGAATTTGACCTCGAAAACGACGGTCAGCGCTGTCTCCACGGTCTCTCCGGCCCAGAGTCATGCGGGCCAAATAACTTTTCGAATATCAATTATACACCTTCAGACGTTCAACGCGTCACTCAAATATTCGACAAGCCTAAATTCTTCATCGATGGCGCGAGTTCGAGCGATATCGTTCAAGGTGGCATCGGAGACTGCTGGTTTGTATCTGCTCTTGCCACAATGGCCACTGCGGAAGGGCTTGTGGAGAAATTTTGCGTCGCGGTAAGTGTGATATATATAGGGCAAACATGATGGCCGCTGTTGATGGTTATATTGGACCTACAGAGAGACGAAGAGGTCGGTGTATACGGCTTCATTTTCTTCCGCGATGCGAGCTGGGTGACGGTCATTATTGACGAGTAAGCTCCTC